AGATCGTCAGTGCTTTTCCGGAAATTCAAGCGGCCAGTGTAGACAGCTGGCAAGTTTTTCTGGAAAAGCGACTGATTTTCCGGAATAACTTACCAGTGTAGACACAGTGTCTACACAGCAACATTATTTCAAAATAACTTAGTTCATGTCTACACAGCAGGCAGTTATTTCAAAATAATGTCTAATCTCCGATCCCAGTGGCTCCTGGACAAGACTCATCATTCACGAGCCCAAGTTTATCCATCTGTATAATGGGTATGCTAAGATGGGCTGCAGATATAATCAATCTCATCCCTTTGGGAATCCAGTTGCCCCCTCTCTCAATGGGCCATGGGCCGACTTTCCTGGTGTTAGAATAGGCCCAACACTGGGGTATGTGGGCACCAGCGCTCGCCTCCCCGCAGCAAGGTACATTTTCAAAATTTGTGCTCCTTATCGCAAGCGCTGGAGGGACAGGGGCTGGGCAGTCTGTATGGGAAGCGGCACAGAGAGAGCTGCAAGGCTCCATGTGCTAACGCTGACAGAGGTGCTGCACTGAACTGCCTTTGCTCTGATCTGGTTTGAAACACACCCCTGGTGACTACGGGCCGTTTCCAGCCTCTTCCTTGAAGTCACACAGGCGGCACCGGCGGCAAGTCTGGCCTGGATTCAGCCTGGCCTGTAGGGTTGCCAGGTGTCCGGTATTCACCCGGACAGTCTGGTATTTTCGAATCCCGTCTGGTAAAAAAATTCAGAAAATACCAGACACCTAAAATGTCCAGTATTTTCTGAATTTTTCCCCGGCCACAAAGCAAAAATGCCGGGCACCTGGCAACCCTACACACACTTAGCGCCCGGCCTCCCCCACGGCTCCCAACACCTCCAGCCCCCCAACCCCAGCCCCCATGCTTACCTGGTTTCCCAAGGTTGCCGGCACAAAATGGCTGCCGGCCAAAAGACCTAGGGGAAGCAATGGGTCTTAGTGCTCAACCGCTCCCCTGTTCCTAACTCTTAAAAGGGACATGCTGTTTTAATGATGTTTTATTTTAATTTTTTTTTGGCTTACTTGGAGTCCTTTTTTTTTTCTTTGCTCAATAACTTTGGTCCCCCCCCCTCCTTTTCTCCCCTCAACAGAATTTTTTTTGGGGGGGGGTTCGGTATTTTAGTTTCAACCATCTGGCAACCCTATGTCTGTGAACAAACTCATCCCAAGGCAAAGTCTGACCAAAGAGAATGGGAAAAAGCCAAGCCACTTCAGTGGAAGCAGGTTTGGGTTTGAAGCCAGCCAAGCCCCTGGCCTGGTATGTGGGGCTCAATCTGACACCCCACGGTGTTGCCCCTGGAAATCAAATTGGTAAGAGCGGTGGCTTCTGAATCACAAGGAAATTGAAATGTGTTTAAAGCATTTATTCTCTTGCCTTTATTCTCTCTGCCTCTCTCCCCAGCATGTGGCCACGGTCCACCCACTCGTGTCCCTCTGCTAGCCAGCTGCTGTCCCAGGGAGCTAGCATTAAGCAAGGCTTTTCCTAATCGCTGCTGGGTTATCAGCCTGGGCTGAGGCCATCTGAACGCCTGACCCCTGTGCATGCTAACACAGTGCTGTGCCTCGCATCTTTTGTTTCTGCTGCACCCAGCCGCAAGGAGATTAAGCTTCCACTGCTGTTTGAAATCGGTCTTTTTCTGCATGTGGGTGTTTTCCTGTCTGTCTTTCTGGCTCTGCCTGGTTATTGATCATGGCATTGTTTTTCACTCTTTGCGTAGATGTATTGGTAAGGCATACCCTGCCCGTTCCTTCAGTTTCTTATCTGTTATCCCATCTTTGGATACAAGTTTGTTAAAAACCAGAATGCCAATAACCATGTTCACCTGTTGAAAGAAAAACAACAGACAGGTTTGTTTTGAAATGGCTCAGGTCAGACTCTGTCACACAAAACCCTTGGGGAAGGCTGGCACGTGCACATCTCTTCCAGCTGGCCAGCAGAATTAACCCCCTACGCAGACTCTCTCTCACCCCTCCTCCACACCCCCACTGAATCCAGGCCAGAGGGCCTAGCAACACCCCTGGAGCTGCTAGCTGATCTGTGAGGTCCTTGTGACTCAGGACAAGGTTGCCAAGTGGTCGGATCTTTGCCTGAGCCAGGTGGGCTTTGGGGGATGCATGCCGGGTGTCTAGAAAGGCAACCATGGGGAGCTGGCCACGTTTCCAGAGCAGTCCTGGGGAACTCAAGCAGAAAATGGCCAATGGGAGAGGAGACAGGGGCTGGGTTTCAAATGCTTTTTGGCATCTCTGGCCCATGCTAAAGGAGCGGCAGCTGCAACAGTGCAATGAGACCATGCAACGCTGAGAGTCCGCCAATTGCACTGCCCTGTGGACAGCCACGGCCCACTCCTACGAACCCAGAGAAGGGATGAATGCAGCCCCGTTCAGGGCATGCGGACGCACCAGCGATCTAGCGCCCGTAGCCTGGTGTGGGCCCTGAGGCACCGTGCAGTTGCCATGGGTGCAGCCTGGGCTAGCTGTCTATTTCCAAGCGGGTTAGAGGATCAGCCCTGCGGTGAATGCAGCGGACAGGACTAGATGACCTACTGTGGTTCCTTCCAGTCCTACACTCCCAGGGGAGGGAACCACACAGTTACGTGGCATGTCCGGTTGAGCTGAGCGCCAAACTTTGTTGACCATATTCATAGCGGAGTACAGACAGCATGGGTGGGGCAAGCATTTCCAGCTTCTATGGAGCCTTTCTTCTGGAGAGCTCCGGCTGTCTGCAAAAGCATGAATTCACTCGGGGGCCGATCAGACGTATGGGGAACCAGGACTGGGCAACAAGGACCTCATTGAGTTCAGATGTCACAAGGCGAAGCCAAGTCCCTCCATGCCCGGCAGGCTCACTGCCGCAAGCTGCCTTTCTGCAACCACCCCGGGCTTGCAGCATGCACTCTGGAGATGTGAACGTGCCGCCGCTGTGCAGGGACCTCTCAGGCCACAAGAAAAGGCATTAAGGGGACAGGAAGGGCTCAGCAGCCATGGTGGGAAGATGACACCGTCCAGGTTTTGTTGCCATGAAGTTGTTGCAGTATTCTGCACTCCTCACACGCTCAGGTGAGAAATCCCAGGCATGGGGCTTGGGAGGAGCCTGGTGGGGTCAAATCCAGAGGAGACCTGAAAAGGGTGTTAGTTCCGCATTGGTCTGTGAGGGGGAATCTGAGGGTGCGTCTATGCAGCAGGGCTTAATTCAAAATAAGCTACGCAAATTGAACTACATCAATTGCCTAGCTTATTTCGAAATTGGGAGAATCTACACAGCACTTATTTCGAAATACAATGAGGGTTACAGGAGTCGGAGTAAGCAGTCCTCCACCTGGACAGTATTTTGACACTATTTCGAAATAACAGCCTGCTGTGTAGACACGGACTAAGTTATTTGGAAATAATGGCACTGTGTGGATGTACCCTAAGTGACTAAGTCTAGTGGCATCTGAGGGGACTCTTACCCTGTAGTTAGGAGATGTGGTTGCAACCAGCTTGAATACTAACAGCAGTGAGGCTCAGGCACCAGGAGCGGCAGCTACCCACATACACACCTGGCGCTGGGTGAAATCTAGCCCAGGTATGTTTGCCTGTGCAGCAATCAGACCTCCGGACTGCAACGCAGCAGTCTCCTGAGCACCTGTCCAAAGGCAGGCTCTGCTGATGTACAAGACACCCAGCAGGGCAGGAGGACGATGTACGTCACCGAGACTCACCCTCCCTCTAGTCTCCTTGAGACTTTCTGCCGTTTCAGATCACCTCTGTCTTTGACCCCTTGGCTCCAGCAAGATGAAACTCTCTGGTGTGGCGTCGCCATTGGGAGTGAACCAAGAAGTGCTGAGGGCATGCGATCCTGAAAAGTCCCACCCTCCTGCTCCGGCCAACGGGAGCGCTCAGTGCCAGGTGGTCTCCAGCACTGGGTTATTTCCTAGAGACCCTATTCATGACATCGGAGGCCACAGGAGGTGCTTGGCGCTTTCTAGGGTAAACTCTATAGGGAGATTGAAAACCAGGCATCAAAGCTGTTCGCCTCAGTGCAGCCTCCACCCAAGGGCACCAAAACCCTTACAGGTTTTCATTTAAAAGGAGCGGGGGAAGGAGGTGGACAGCCTGTACTTGCATAAATTAGCAAAGAAAAGACGGGCTGTTTTCACTGATTTCAGGTTGACCCAACAGTACCATTCAATGAACAAAAGCCTGTTTCGGTTCCCGAGGCAATCAGTCCCATTCACGGCAGCTACTCTGCCCCGTCAATAAAAGAGGCAGAATTTGGACTTGCAGGACCGGAGCCTGCCCTGCCCAGAGCCTTGTATTTAAATGACATGGGGCAAGCTTGTGCGGGTGTTCTGGCATGGTAGCTCCTAACATCCACATGGCATGGGGGTAAACGAGAGCCCCAGGGGTAGTGAAGAGGAGAATCCGGAGTATCTTTTTCTATCCAAAAGCCCAGAAAAAGTCGACCTCGGGGTGAGTTAGCTGCATCCCAAGAACCTAAACCAAGCTGGGGCTATGCTCCCACATGTTGCTAAGAATGGGAAATTGTATTTGGGTCTGGAACTGGTTTGGCTGGTTTCCACCAGGAGCTAGTTTAAATGGGGGGTGGGGCGAGGGACAGGGGAGACTAGGCCTCAGTAAAGCTACAACAGCTCCGGCTTTAGTGCTGCAAGCAGGGACCCAGCCCAAATGAGAATGTGGGTGCACCTCAATCCGATCTCGTTTTCTATGGGTTAGACATTTTTGCTTCCTTCCTTCTATCGGGCTGGGAACAGCTTCTGGGTCACAGGATTGTCTTCCACAGAGATATGAAAAACAAATCCAAAGCCACAGCGGGTGAGCGGCTCCGTGAAAACATGGGGTTTGCAATGACATGGAGCTACTCTGAGCAGCACAGCCAAAGATACCTGCAGGAAATCGATTGTGGGCTGATCCAACACAAAGGCTGTGTTCTGTTGGGGGTGCATTGTTGGTCTACTACTGAGAGTCCCTAGCATGTTAATAGGTGCCCATTTCTTGGTACATTTAAGAGTTTAACAAGTGTGTTTTGCCTGAAACACAGCTGGTAAATCCAGGGCTTATCTCTGCAGGCGGCTGGTAAATACAGCAGCATAACAGGCACATTTCACTGGGTCGCTGATAGAATTTTTAGCCGCAACTCAGAGGCGCGTATGTAATCTCACGGTAAATCATTTCTAATCGTTTATCTCCAGAAACGCGCTTGTAATTTAGTGGGACTCAATAATTGAATCAATAAAAGATATTTCGGCAAATAAAAATCACGACCGTGCTCCTTTGCAAAACAAGCATTGGAGTAAATCAGGAACCTGCTTACAAAGACAGCCGCTCTTAATTACGTGCATCATAGCTTCCCCTCTTTATCTCAGAGATGATGCCAAGAAATGAATGTGCAAGTCTGAGATCCAGCCCTTGCGATAACCAGAGGAAAGAAGCTGATAATTATTCTCTGTCTAATAGTCTCCAGGCAGAAATCTGCCACCATACTTTCACGCAGGGAAGTGTTATCCCTGGGGATATCCTAGCCAGGATCGGGTGAGTACAGCCAGAACTCAGCTTTGGGAGCACAGCCAAATTTTAGTCCTGTCAGGCCTTCTTCCATTGCTGGCATTAGTGAGAGATGCACATGCTGCTGGAGATGGGAAGATGGCCCCCTAAAGACATTTCTGAGCGTGAACATCAAGTTTGATCAAAGGAAGGATGGTCTTGTGGCCAAGGCACAGAGGTGGGGCTGAGAATTCTTGATTCAATTCCTCGTATATGAATGGAGATGCCTATCACCTAGAACTGAAAAGGGCATCATGTGCAGTCCCCTGCCTTCACAGCAGGACCAAGTACCATCCCAGACAGATTTTGCCCCAGATTCCTAAATGGCTTCTTCAAGGATTGATCTCACAACCCTGAGGTTAACAGGCCAGGGCTCAAACCACCGAGCTCTCTCTCCTGAACCAGCAACAATGACCTAACCAAGCCACTTACTCTCTCTAAGTCTCTGTTCCCCATTGATAGAACAGGGAGAACACCACTTCCTCTTTCTCCCACCCCTTGTCGGCCTCCTTAAGCTGTAAGTTCTTTGGGGCAGAGACTGTGTCTCATGACTGGTGTGGAGAAAGAGAGTAAGGAAAAGTTATTTACTTGTTCTCATAACATAAGAACAAGGGGTCACCAAATGAAATGAATAGGTAGCAGGTTTAAAACAAACAAAAGGAAGTTTTTTTTCCATGCAGCGCAGTCAACCTGTGGAACTCCCTGCCGTAGGAGGTCATGAAAGACAAGACTTGAACAGGGTTCAAAACGGAACTAGAAAAATTCATGGAGGTTAGGTCCATGGCTATTAGCCATATTAACCCATCAAGGGCTATTAGCCAGGTTGGGTAGGAATGACGTCCCTAGCCTCTGTTTGTCAGAGGCTGGAAATGGATAACAAGAGAAGGATCCCTTAATGATTACTAGTTTTCTTCGATCTCCCTTGGGCACCTGGCATTGGTCACTGTTGGAAGACAGGACACTGGACTAGATGGATCTTTGGTCTGACCCAGTATGGCCCTTATTATGTTCTTATGTTCTCAGTGGCTACGTCTAGACTGGCATGATTTTCTGCAAATGCTTTTAACGGAAAAGTTTTCCGTTAAAAGCATTTGTGGAAAAAAGCATCTAGATTGGCACGGACACTTTTGCGCAAAAGCACTTTTTGTGGACACAGCCAGTGTGAGTGTACAGCACAATGGGTTCCTGCATGAGGCTTTTGGATGCTACTTTAACACCAATAGTGATAACTGGTGTGTGCACATGGGGATAAAAAACCTGTCGCTCCCCAGGTCAGCTGGCTGGAGGTCACGGGGGTTAGACTCCAAGGCTGGAAAATCTGGGGCTCGGCAAGGATTCAGCCCTAACTGAAATGTTAGCTCCAGGGCCCAAGTCTTGTGAGCATAAGTCAGCTGACTTGTGCCAGCTGTGGCTGGGTTGCAGGTCATTTCTCTCTCTGTAGATAAAGCCCAAGAGAGAAACCGCCTTGAGTGGCCAGAAAAGAATAAACCAGATAAAAGGGAATGTGAAATAATGGAAGAGCTATCCAGCTAGAGAGAAGCCTGGAGAAATAGTGATATCTGTCGTGTGAGCTGTCCTGAGCTTTGCAATAGGTCGTGCTTTGCCTAAAGCCTCCTCTCCTGAAGTCACAGAATTGCACGAGAGCAGCAGCTTTGACTCGCAAGAAAGTAAATTTCTATGTGCCATGTCCGCGGGGAAAAAGTCTGAAAGCATGAACCCTCCAGGCTCGAGAACTCCAAGGTGACTAAAAAGAACCTGACTTCCGGAGAGGGGGTGTCTTCCTGAGGTTATTACATTCAATGCATTCTCTCTGCTGGGCAGCAAGAAGTTCGAAGGACCAGCCCTACGGATTCAGCTTCCTCCCTGTCCCTGGGATGTAGAGAGGCCCGTTCGATTTACCTCAGCATGGACAACCCAATGCATTCAGAAATCATGAGCTTCTCTCGCAGAAACAAGGGGTACGTCTAGACTACATCCCTCTGTCGCCAGAGGGATGTAAATTAGACATACCGAAATTGTTAATGAAGCAGGGATTTAAATATCCCGCACTTCATTAGAATAAAAATGGCCGACGCTTTTTGCCGACGTGGCAATTTGCTGGCAAAAAGCAGCAGTCTAGACGGGGATTGGTCGGTAAGGAAAACTTGTTTTGACCGATCCTGAAACCTTGTTGCACGAGGCATAAGGGATTGGTCGGAAAAGGCTTTCCTTGCTGACTGAGCCCCTTCTAGACTGCCGCTTTTTGCTGGCAAATTGCCGTGTCGGCAAAAAGTGGCGGCCATTTTTATTCTAATGAAGTGCGGGATATTTAAATCCCTGCTTCATTAACAATTTCGGTATGTCTAATTTACATCCCTCTGGCAATAGAGGGACGTAGTCTAGACGTACCCAAGAAGTCAGTGCAGGTGGCTGGACAGGTTCCTAAAGGATATGTACAGGGTGAGAAGCACCATGCTTCTGTTTTCAAGTCCAAGAGATTCCCATTCTAAGACAAACTGAAGGATTAAGTCCCCTCCCTCCCTTGTGTCTTGTTCAATACCACAGCAAAAGCAACAACGACTCCAGTTTCTCTGGACATCCCCAAAAATCACTTTCCACGCCCTATGCTACGGTGGGATTGTCACGCAGGCCCATGCAGTGAAAAAAGCATCAGCTTATCAGTTTCCATTAAGGTTAAACTCTTCTGTCCTACTACACGCTGGCTCCCAGCACACACTGGCTCCTGGCTGCCAGTCCTGCTCCTGGGGAGCTGGCTGCTGCGCTGTGCTGCAGTCACTGCAGTATTAGACATACAGCAGACCCTGCAGCTTGGGGTGACAACCGGCTGCTTGGGAGCCACCTCAGATCCCCCAAAACAGTTAACCAAGCATTGTTACAGGCTAGGGACCGACTGGCTAAGCAGCAGTTCTGCAGAAAAGGACCTGGGGATCACAGTGGATGAGAAATTGGATATGAGTCAAAAGTGTGCCCTTGTAGCCAAGATGGCTAATGGCATATTAGGGTGCATTAGGAGGAGCGTTGCCAGCAGATCTAGAGAAGTGATTATTCCCCTTTATTTGGCTCTGGTGAGGCCACATCTGGAGTATTGTGTCCAGTTCTGGGCCCCCCCACTATAGAAAGGATGTGGACACACTGGAGAAGGTCCAGTGGAGGGCGACCAAAATGATTAGGGGGCTGGAGCACATGACCTATGAGGAGAGGCTGAAAGATTTGGGTTTGTTTAGTCTGCAGAAGAGAAGAGTGAGGGGGGATTTGATAGCAGCTTTCAACTCCCTGAAGGGAGGTTCCAAAGAGGATGGAGAGAGGCTGTTCTCAGGGGTGGCAGATGGCAGAACAAGGAACAATGGTCTCAAGTTACAGTGGGGGAGGTCCAGGTTGGATATTAGGGAAAACTATTTCCCTAGGAGGTGGGGAAGCACTGGGATGGTTCCCTAGGGAGGGGGTGGAATCTCCATCCCTAGAGGTTTTTACGTCTTTGCTTGACAAAGCCCTGGCTGGGATGATTTTGTTGAGATTGGTCCTGCCTTGGGCAGGGGGCTGGACTTGATGACCTTCTGAGGTCTCTTCCAGCCCTAGAATTCTATGATTGTATGATTTTTAAGCACTGACTCAGTTACTGGTTTGAAGTCTTTTTTCCATCACTACCACGGATCCTTATTAGAGATGGGATCTAGGTTCATCTCCTCTCCTTTTGTCCCCATCTATGTGCCCTCGATTATACTGAGCCATTCTCCCGTGGGAGCTGAAAGCCGAGGGGTCTAGCCAATTCACCAAGACAGGATCCGCTCAGCTCTATTTGACCACTGATTTCAGAGCTTCACTGAGCCCCTGAAAAAAAAACTCTCCCACAGGCC